ACCCTACCAGCTGCGGTGATGAATGTCCCACATTTTTTTTTTTTTTTTTTTTTAATTAAGTATTCAAGTTTTAGAACTTATTAATTTTTATGATTATCTATTCAGATTAAATTCAAGTTATTTGTATTGAATGGAGATCACAAAAGAAATATTTGAAGATTTTACTCTGCTATGAATGTTAAGATGTAAATCAATATTCAAAAATAAGTGGAGCAAGGTGATGGATTTGTTAGAAAATCATGAAAAAAGGAGACTGAAAAATTTTTATTAAAATAGAACACATACTTTCTTTATTTAATTGTATCATGAATAATTTTTTTCGACACTCTTTGTCTTAGCAATTCTAATGCTTAATGAAAAATTCTTAAACGTACTCTTACATATGAACGTTACTTATTGACTATAGCCTTGTTCTACTCTTTTCTGTCTCCTCCTTAATTCGTTATTTATTCTATCACCGCATCTTCGAAGCCATTCGGCAATTCGATTCCTTACAGCATCTATATGAATTTGATGATGTTCTTGAATAAGATCTGTAGATAATTCCACGAAATAGCTTTAAAAATCTGAAATTTTTGTGAAAAAAACCACCAATGAAATTGCTTAAAGACTTACCAACTATCAACCCAACCATGTTAGATGTACCAAAAGGGACAGTATCTTTCACACCTATCCAAGAAATGTTTTTACACAATTCATTTGACAGAATCGAAGACATAATATTTGATACTGATTTTTGTTCCGTTGGAACAAGCAACTTATTTAGCTTTACAATCTACAAAGTAAACCATAATTCATAGTTTTATAATATAATAATAATAATAATGATAATAATAATAATAATAATAATAAAAATAATAATAATAATAATGATAATAATAATGATAATGATAATGATAATGATAATGATAATAGTAATGATAATGATAATGACAATGACAATGACAATGACAATGACAATGACACTGACAATGACAATGACAATGACAATGACAATGACAATGATAATGATCATGATCATGATGATCATGATCATGATAATAATAATAATAATAATGATAAAAATTATTAGAATGATAATCAATACTAACAATAATAACAATTATGAGCAAACAAAAGTCAGTGCCGGGAGTCACTCGACTGTATCGGAAGGCGCGTTCGTAGGACGGAGACAATAAAGAATTTCTTTTTTCCGTAATAAGTTATGACTGTAAAGTTATGTCAAGTTTAATGATATACATGAAAAATACTATCGTTGGTCACACCATATAAAATAAATCATTAAGAAAATAAGGAGGTATGAGCTCCGGGCGTCACTCGACTGTATTGAGGGGTGCTGTCCGTAGTACAAAGACAAGAAAAAATTTTCTCTGTTCTTTAGTACTAATGGCAAGAAATTTGTATGGAAATCTTTTTTTTTTAAAACAAATAAATGATAAATGAAATTATAAAATATAAACTCCATGTATAGCTCCAAATTTTTCATTTTGTATGTGAAACATTACTTATTATAAAGTAGTCTTAAGCATCTGCCTAATTCACAACAATTTTATATATGATTGTAACATAAGGCAAAGCGCATACACGATCAATATTGTTATATACTTAACACACAATGAAAGGAGACTGACTGATTGAAAGAGCAAAAATAATAATGTTAAGAGAACAGTGGTTCTCTACCATTGAATGGAACGATGAGTGTAACATACTTAACTGCATAAACAACACAGACAACAGAATACGGCACACACACGCACAATTGAAAACAAGTCTACTGGCTCGAAACTAGATAAATTAAAAAGTCAGCGTCGTCGACTGCGACGTCGCGGCCTCGGACGTGTTACGTACAATATGCAAGGCACATTATACTGACTCCTGCTGGTAACAGCGAGGCTACCTTATCTAGAGGTCATGGCGGGACAGGACGAAGGTAATATAAGGCCCAGCGAGCCTCAAATCGCGGCAGTCGAGCGTTATCAAAAGAGTCCGACGTTATCAGAGCACTTGGGCGTTATCAAATCAAGACACCGGGTGATAATTACGGAAGGTCACGACGAGCCTTGAAGGAAACTCAGGCGCGACTTTGCCTTGTGAATGTGGTATCTTGAATGTAAGTCTTTAAGGTAATAAGTACTAGTCTTTCTCGCGATACACCTCCTTACTAATCTCTTTCCCACGTAACACTGAAGTCTAAAATTTGGGCTGTTTTTAAAGCCGAAGAATTCAAATTTCATGTTCTGCCATGGCTTTGTAGTTAATTGTCAGAATATAAAGGACTTTATTGGAAATACTTTTAGTTTACCAAATAATTCATGATATTTATGACCAAGGTTTAGTCTACGCAAAATGAAGAAAAATTTTCTTATGAATTATTATGATTCAAAATTACTGCTTATCCGCGATGTAAGCCCGCCTGTAGCGCCACCCTCGTGACAATTAATGAAAATGACGAGAGGCGGATAAATAAGCCAAAATAAAATGTCTGAGACAGGAGCCACTGGAAAAAAAGTTGAATCTCTTTTGAAAAAACAGCCTACGCGTTAGTGCAGTGTTCCCAGTGTAAATTTAAAAAAGGATCCTACGTACATCCATTTCCAAAGGATAAAAAACAATGCCAGAAGTAGGTAGTTGCTTGTAAGATGGGCAAACGAATAACCTCTAATATGGTTGTGTGTGGCTGAGTAACCTCGAATATGACAGCGTGTGGCTGAGTAACCTCGAATATGATGGCGTGTGGCTGAATCAGCCCCACACTATCAAATTCGAGGTTATGCGTTTACCCATCTTACAAACAACTATCCACTTCTGACATTGTTATTTATCCTGTAGAAATCGATGTACGTAAGATCCTTTTTTTAATTTACACTGGGAACACTGCATGAATGCGTAGGCTATTTTTTCATTAGAGATTCAACTTTTTCTTCAACGGCTCCTATCTCAGACATTTTATTTCGATTTGTTTACCTGCCTCTCATCAGTTTCATTAATTGTCACGAAAGCAGCGCTACAGGCGGGTTCACATCACGGATTTCGTTACGTCTGTAGTCTTTTGGAAGGTACGGGTGTGTAAAGTTAAGATAATGTCTGCGTCAAAAAATTTTGAATTTTTAGTAAAGTCATGGCTTTGCTTTCGTTCGTTATAATATTAGATACTATTCAAGAAGTTATTATAGGTGTTAAAATAATTTTCTAAGCATTGGCTAGGGTCCAGTAAACGTAAAACAAACAAAAAAGTCTTTATGAATTATAATAATTTGAAATTATCGTTTATATCGCAATACTATCATGAGATTGAGTAGACAGGTGCTGCCTACATCTAGTGCCGACAAAGACTAATTAAAGTCGTTTTATCGCTTAGATTTATCCTAAAAATTTAATCATTCTATTCAGAATACATAATCATTAGAAATATATTTAATAAAAAAAGTTTGGAGGGTTGGCGCATGGAGCGCGCATGGGCAAAGCCCCCTAGTAGTAATAAAAAGTCAAGTGTTACTGAGTAACACTATTTATTTCATAAGCACTGAGTATATCTATTTTCACTGGAGCAGATATAATAGTAAAAGTGTCTGTGTACAATTGATTGTCTGTTAGTGTGTGTTACTGTAGAGAGTGTATCAGTATGACAGAGTTTGAACTAAGTAAGAGTTTCACCTTCATGATTCACCTTCTGAATTTAAACTTCGTGAACAATACAACACTTGATTACAGCACTGTTGCAACAAAGGCACAAATGAAATATGAATGGTTGCATTGGGCCTTATCCACTATATTATGAGTCCTTCAGCGATTGATAAGTTAAATTAACCGCACGACACGTGTGTTACACGAGTGGTTTTTGTATGAAACTTACCCTATGAGCATATCAACTTGAATAGTATGTTATTGATACTGATATGATATACATGATAATTTAATTAATATACTGAGTTTTAACGAAAACAAATTGTGCATGACGATAACTGGAGTGAGTTTGAATGTTAACTGTTTCATGGCTTGCTAAAAAATAGGCATGAGCATAACTTGCTGAGAGTCGGTTGCCAACCGAAGCTTTGATTACACATAACGTTAGGCGATGAAAAAACGCGGGAGCATCAAAAACAGACCAATTTCATGCGCCAGCGTAGCAGATAAGTACGCGCTACGAGAAAATATTGAAGGTTAGTCACGGTTATAAATCGTAAGCCGTGCAGTGCTGCCATCATATCTACTGTAAAAAAGTGCGCGTAATTTGAATAAACAGTGCTGCTTCAAGATTCTGAATAGCTACAAATTTTATATTTCAAGTAATTCCATTACTTCATTTTTTATTCTAGTAGTACTGGGGACTGTCTAGAAGCTTATTTTAGTTGTATAGTTGCCGTCCGGGGTATTTTTTTATTAATTATTAATCATTAAAATAATTATTATTCTTTGAATTTTTACCATCCGGGGTATTATTTTATTAATTGTCAATTTTTAAAATAACCATTATTCTTCAAATTGAATCGTTTTACATAAATTTGATTTTAAAATGTCGCGCAGCTCTGATTTCAAAACTTTGTGCTTGATAGTACCGCCTACTACACGCTAGGTGGCAACTACTTGTTTCTGGCAAACATCGCAAGTAAGAAAGTCCACCAGCTCCAGCAGTGGCATCAGATTCCAGCAAAAGGGCACTACCTTTCGTCGCCTAGAGTCTCTAGCACAGAGTGCTGTTTCTTCTTATTGCTGTTCGATGACGACGGCTAATCAATACCCTCGAAGATGACTCCAGCCACCCTCAATTTTCATAAAAAATGATGTTTGTAACGATATTGATAGCGAAGTAGTCGCCGAAAATCAGGTCTTTTTTTCAGCCAAAAATATCACATTTTAAGTGATGCCACGGCTCTGAAGCCGTTTTTGGCGACATACTTAATTGTCTTTAAAGTCTTTTTAGTTAATAGATTAGCTATTCTAACGTTTGCTTAAGCCTAGCAGGCACAAATTAGGAAAAATATTTTTATAAATTTTACCAGCTTTAGTTTTAATTACTTATCCTGCAATATCCATATTATTATCGGAAATACAGGCATTTTAAGTTTTGGCTATTTTTGTTTCCAAAAATTTCAGATTTTGGATAAATCCATATTTAAAATAACGAGGTGACTCGAGCGCACTGAGACATTGGGTTTATTGTGCTTCATCGAATTCAAATCATAATTTACAAAAAACCGAGAAGACTACGCTTTTTCTGCATTACGTATGAAAAAAATTCAAACAGTAAGTCAACATCAGATCCACGTAAGATACACTAATACCACGCCTTAAATTAATTTTTTGTTTTGCAATACCTGCATTACTTACGGAGTTACGAGTTTTTAAAATTTTAGCAATTTTTGTATCAAAAAATTTTTAACTTTGAATAAATTTATGGCTAGGCTGTAGTTCGTAGAAATATAAGTAAATTTCCAGTTATTTGAGCGGTTGAAATTATTTTCTACGCGTCATCTAGAGGCCACTCAACATGCAGAAAAAAAAATTTTTCTAGAATATTAATGATTTCAATTGATTGCTTATTTTCCGACGTCTGTATTATTGACAGAGATACGAGCATTTCAAATTTCACCTAATTTTTTTTTTTATGTCAAAATGACTTTGTCAGCGTTATTTAGAGGACAGTAAATGCCAACCAAAATAATTTATTTTTAAACCTCAGTAATTTAAACTTATTTTTTATTTTGCGATATTCCTATTAATAACGGAGTTACCAGATTTGAAAGGTTTCACAATTTCTGTATCTAAAAGTTTAAA